CTTACCGATCCAAATACAAAAGTAACTACGAACAATAACACTCCTCATTTTCTCAACTAACTGTGACTTTTTCTTCATATTCCTTAGACTAACGGTGACTCTGATTGTGATCTCTAGCTTGAAAATGATTCATCTCTATGTCATGTATTTTGTTGTTATCAATAAATCTGACTAATACGTTGCCTGGCATTTGAATTTTCACTATTCCTGAATAATACATACCATGATTTTGCCTCATCATCATAGATCAAAACTTTTTAAAATAAACTACCAAAATCCTATCGCGTCTAACCTTTGATTACAGAATCATTCTTCTAACAATCCATAGTCACAGTATCGATCTTTCCACTTTCGCACGAAACCATATATGATATCAGTGCAGATTTCACCATCCTGATATCCATAAATGTCTAACATGCCATTCCAATTTAAATATTCGTTCAACTCTTCATCTATCCCAGTCTTTCAATCATTCCAGATCAGTCTGAGCACGTGTGATAGGTATGTTGAGATTCCTATCATCTTGAGAGTGTGTGATCAATGCACACAAGTATCTCGATGCGGGTGTGGGTGTAGGTGCGGATGGGTTGATATCTATGTGAGGGTGTGAGGCGGGTGCGGATGGGTTGGTATCAATATGAGGGCGCACTATGAGTGCAGAAGGATTATCAGCAAAATGAGGGTGTGTGGCGGGTGTCAAGGGCTTATCACAGCGGTCATAGCATGCAAATTAGCGTGCAGCAAAACTGCGGAGAGCTTAACAGTGAAGCGAGGATTCCCAATGCCCAGGGACAGTGTAGAACTGCAGCAACCGCACACCAAGCGTACTACACTACTGAAATATTTCAAAAAAACCCCTTCAACTTTTCAAAATATACCTAAGCACCCAAAATCAGATTTCAAGTTTAAACAGCTGCGCAACATCACACTGAAGTCAAACTAGCACCGATATGATATATCTCGTATCAAAAAGCCACATGTGTTAGCTCAAACCACAGGGACATCAGCGAAAGAGAACGAAAGAGACAGAGGAATCGAAAAAAATTACCTTCGTGGGACTCGAACCCACACCTTCTGTTACCCGGGCAGATGTCCTAATCCAATTAGACCAGAAGGACCATCTTAATCTCTTGTCTAGGGTGGGTGATTCATCACAAAGGCGAACCACGAGCCAACAGCACTCTCCAATAAAGAAATAAAAACAAGATCTCTAATCTTCCACAAGATGTCACCCTAATCCGATGTTACTACCCATTCACCTCATTCCTTCTCAGCACCAGAATTCAATATATAAACAACGCGAAGATAATCTATATTGTACCAGTCGCAACCATATCAGCGGTACATTGAACACCTTCTTATCGACTATCTGTCGAACTACGCAGATTATGTAAGCTTATCTATGATCTTCCGATCATTTGGATAGCTTATACAGTCTAAAGCCATCTGATGATTCCTTTAGCCGGGATGAAATCGCGATAATGGCGTGCTTTGACTCACACTCCAACCGAAAATCATGATTCTCAAGATGGGAATTCAGTATCACCAACGACGTCATCATCTCAGCAGGCATCATCAGACCTGTTTTCGTCTCCTACCTTAGAGATAGAAGTGTCTCCATTAAATATCGCTGAGGCAAATATGATTGACGGAATCAACACCGCCATTCAACGTCTCCTAAATCGACCTAACCATCAACCACCCTACACAGCTGTCTTTCGATGGACCATTGATGACGAATCAAGTGGTCATTACAGTGTTACAATTACGATCAATGAACTGCCAGTTCGAAATTAATTTGCTTCCGTCGCAAATATACTCCTTCTTCTTTTTTTTTTTTGTTTTAACAAATCTTGGGACTATTATCACTGCAAATGATAAAGTGTTTAAAAGAAAACATGAACAATAAAATGAAGTCACTTTTCCCTTTCTATTTCAGATACGTTTGACTTTTTTCGAAAACACCACTATCATCATTGATTATTGGTTTATATAAAATAGATCTATAAAGCTCAATTAAAAGATGACACAAGCAAATATGAATTCAAAGCTCGACAATGAACAAGCTTTAGATGATGGAACAACTGTAAATATCTCCGTTTACATTATTTACCTTGTTTCTCTTTTCTAGTTTTACGATATGAATTGGCGCGATCATGTCTTCGATATTCCTGATTATTTGGATCAGAACGCAACAGATAATGATGATGGTCATCAAGAAACTATTTTTGATGAATATCTTATAGATTTTGATTTTGATTATGTCCATACAAATGTTGATCAAGAAGAAATGATCGTTACTGTTGAAACTAAGCGGACACATGATAAACAGGTAATTCAGATGATAGGATGGATAAGGAAAACAGATTAATCATCGACTTTCAATCATTTAGACAGCCGATGACTGTATCCTGTCACACAGATTGAGTCAGTTATCTACGAATGTTGAACTTGATAATGACGACATTGCTACAAGCCAGAAAAAGCGACCTATGGATACTCCGCCAACCCCAACTGTCGTTTCGAAGAAAATCCGAATCGTAGACGATTTGGAAATCAATGCGAATTCCATACCATCGTATTTACAGTCAACAGATCCATTATTTAATACCTATATGCATGATTACATGTTGATGAATCAAACAGCTTCATTGGGCATTCCAATCACCGTCGAAGATTTAAGACAGCTCGCCATTTTAAAACATATGATTGCTGTTCTACAAATCCGCCATAAATTATGGACTGTTTATTTGAAATTAGGCACAGGTCAATTGGAAACGGAAGAAAGTCGTAAAACAACTATCGATCGATGTCTATGGCCTGTTGAAGTTAAAGAACGATGTGTATCACTTACGCATTGGAATGGTACCGATGCACAGCAGCGATATGAAAAATTCACGCGTAAATTTCTTGATGAATTGAAAGAATTAAGTGAACAATATCAAGATAAATATGATGTAAGGAAAAGTTCTTATTCTGTCGTTTTCACAGAAGAATTGGAAAAGGCGATTGACAAATTTGTCTATCAACATGGCATACGATCACAGCAAATGAAACTAGACTACAAAATAGAAATACTTACGTATGATTATGATGCTCAAATACTTGAACGTAAATATCAACAATGTCAACCGACTGAATACCAGGTAAGATGGATCATTTCAAACGAACGCTCTTTTTCGACAGTCAGAAGTTAATTCTTCTTTGGATAGACACAACTTGCCAAACGTCTATATGACTTATATCATCGTTACGTTCAATCAAAACAAGAACTGATCGAATTCAAACAACGAATTCTCTATAATAAGCCGAATTTACCAGAGTCAGTGTCGATGGCAGACGTTTCAATGGGTCAATTTTCAAAGGCATTGGAAGAGAAGAAGCAACAACAGGACATGACTGATTCGATCGTTTCGGCGATACTCGACAAAGAACAAAAATGCCATGAATATCAGACGAGATTCAATGACGAAATTCATCGCATACCTATGAAAAGCGATCAAAACAACGAGGGCCTACCAGGCAAATTGATTGATCTGATCTATCGAAATTTTAAAACTATGGACAAAAAACTGAAGTATATCAGTGATTTTCGACGGAATTACTATTTGAAAAATCACCGTGATCCTATTGATAATAATAGTGAACAATGGTTCGATAAGAAGAACGTGGATTCTTTTGCGCCGACGATGATCATTGATACAACGTCACATCAGCTAACAATCGAACAAATAAAACTGTTAAATCGTGGACCAACTTATCTATTACCATGCTACATCTATGCTTCTTCTGAATCTATCAAAGATACCATTCAACAGCAATATAAATTATTGCAACACCATCTTAGCCTTATTTTTGCTCGATTCAACATCAATTCGACTCAATCAATGTTTATTAATAAACAAATTAAAGATACCTACGTGGACATGTTTTCTTCATTACCACCATTACCAATCTATCAACGTGCCGTTTACGAATGTCAACTAGTTCAATCTATTCGAGAACAATTAGAAAAGAACCAGTTGATTCTACGGCGAACGGCAGACCGTAGGAATGTTTTCTATCTAGGTAATCGAAAAGAATTCGAAGACAAGGGCAAGCACTACATGTTTACGACAAATACGTTCGAATTCCGTGAAACGATTCCTCCAACGAATCTTGGCTATGCATACGAATATCTAGCGAAAATTGTTCGAGCAATTAATTCGGATATAGAGAAGATCTTCAATAACAAGAAAACTTACAAAGATCTCTTACAGAAACTATACATTGATATCGATAAAGTGTATTGGCCATACTTATATTTCTTACCCGATGTTTCCGAGGTATAGTCGTTGCATTTGATTTTCTTCATGTTAAATTAATTTTTCTTTCTTTAGAAGAGTGAAGTGTCAGTGAAACCATGTATCGTCACACGAAAGAGTATCACCACACGATTAGCACAATTTTTAGAAGATCTACTACAACCAGCAGTTGAACGTCATATGGCAAATACCAGTTTTGAAAATAGTGCTGATTTTCTTCAGCAATTTCATCAGTACATCGAAGAAAATAATGGCGCCGACAAACGTAAAGCGCAACACTTTTATCCCAAGACAATTTTCGTCAAAATTCAAATCCTTAACTATTACACAATGGCATCTCATTCAACAATGTTGTCTGCTCTTAAAGACTACTTCGAAGATCATTTGGCCACCCGTTATATCGAAAATATATCAGTCGATAGAATCATCGAGTTAATTTCAGTCTTTCTCAAGAACAATTACTTCTACTACGATAATAACATCTATCGTTGTACAAGAGGCTGTCCAGAAAGTTTCAAAATCAATGAAACATTAGCTCATATGTATACAATTCAATGGCAAAAAATACTACGACGTAAACTTTATATCGATCGAGAATTCTATGGAAGGTAAGTCTTTTCTTATATGCTTTCAAAAGTTCTCTCTTTGTTTTGCTTTGTACAACAAAGATATCATAATCAAATCTTTTTCACATGGAACCGGACAACATATGAACTGGATGATTTCTTTGAGAAGTTTCGAAATCAATATCAAAATATACAAATGAACGTCAACATTGGTTCAACAGTTCATTTTATCGATGTACATCTGGAAAATCGGCAAGGAACCTTATACACTCGATTATATCATGATCCAGACAGTCAAGCATATACATTGCCCTATGTACTCGATAATCCAATTGTAACCCATAGTCATTGGCTCCGATCGGCTCTCATTCGCGCTGTTCGTTGTTATATTTCGGTTCATGATTTTCATCGAGAACGTATTTATCTCGAAGTGACTTGTCTGACCAATGGCTACTCGTTCGAATTTATTCATCGTCGTGTTGAACATTTCTTTACTTATTTCAATGCCGCGTCCCTGTATCAAACTGTGAATCAACAAGTCTATGATCAGCTTCGTCTTCGATTATTTAAATTTATTGGCGAACAACAACGAACATCTCGTCAATATGAAGAATTAGCACAAAATAAACGACTGATTCGTCTTTCTTATTTTTATGCGTATGGACCACATAGGAAATTCAAACAGATTTTGAAAAAGACTCTATCGGAAAACCTACGTCGAGCTGATCATCAAACCCGCGAGCATAATGAATTAAAGATAAACATCATGACACAGCATCGTTATTCATTGAATGCTCTTCTAAGCCAACAAAAACCAAGTCATCCATTGTTGGATACAGCAAGAACAATCTTTCCAAGTAAGTGTCTTCTGAAGATAAAAACTATTCTCATTTCTCTCTATCTGTTCACAGGATTCGATGTTGATACTTAAATCAAATAGTGGTTTCATTTGTTGCTAAAAAAAAAACTTTCTTTTTTTACAGCTTGAATTCTGTCGGATTGGATCTGTTATCGATCTCTTTTTCTGCTTTATGCCTTCTTCTTGCTATTGCTTTTTTTTTGTTCATTCTGGTGTTCTAGTGTCTGCAATACCTTCGATGTCCTTGGTGTCTTGATGTCCTCAGTGTCCCGATGTCTCAAGTGTCCTTGGGATACTATATAAAGCGATGTTTTCTTTAGATTCTATTCATTCATCCAGTCGACACAACAGCTCTCGGTACATATCAGGTATAGACATGGTTTAGTTAGGGTTTCATTTTCTTTTTGGACACTACTCCTTTTCATTCTTTGGGGAACTTATCCATACCAAATTCAGAATAAAATTGGGGTTCGAGTAGTGTCCTTGTTTTTTTTTTAATCTTTAATTCTTCGTAATCGTTGGTGTTGGGATAGAAAGCTATCTCAATATGCTATGAAGAAGGTATTGTCCAGTGGCGATAGAAGTCCTTCTGGCCATGAAGATATGACTGAATGTAGTCATCTTCGTGTCAAGCGATTACTTCTCTTCTCTGCATTTTTCTTGAGAATTGAGAATTGAGACCGTCGATTTGCGTAAATAGAATAAGACAGATGTGTGCTAAAGGTCACTGTATCTATCTGAAGTGGCTATCCCACCAGATAGAACAAGATCAAGGTTTTAGTTGGAATATATTTCTCTCATCATTTCAGTCTGAGAAGCAAGCGGTATCGCATCTTAAAAAACACTCAAAATTGTTAAGGCGTAGTCTAAGCTTTTATTTTCTAGCATTTTTTTGTGTAATTTTATTGTGATGTATTCTTTTTTATGTTTTTCGCCTTCTGTAATGTCTGTGAACTTCGATTGTTTATACTCGTATTTTCGTAAAGTAAACTGTTGACATTCTAGAAATTCATCTATCTGTCGCGAAGATTTTCTTTCTACTCGTCATGGCAAATCATCAATCAACCAACGAACAACTGGTGAACATGGCCAATGAATACAGTAAACTTTTTCCCACTCAATCGGAGTCTAAATCTAGGCTTTTTTTGTCGTTGATTGTGTATAGATCATGCTGATGATGACAAGTTTGGATTATTTGGCACTTATGAATATTTAAGTTCAAAAACATCCTTACCCAAACCCAACTCAACAGGTAGTCTAGTTTCAACAATATCCTATTCGTCGAATTCACCTCCATGGGTTTCAGAGCCAATTGTTCCATCAGCTCATAATAACAATCTACTACCTCGGCTAGCTCCCTGTTGGATACCACTTACTCGCATCGCAATGGTAGACTATTATGGTCAAGAATCACATGAAAAAGATTCGAAAGCAGGAAAAATGACAAGTGGTCCTCCGCAGAAAAAAAATTAACATACACCACAAAGCGAACTATTCATAGTACAGTTCTCTTCTGTTTCTGTTATTTCTATGGCATCTGATTGACAGAGTCTTTGTTTGTAGTGGATACACTTTTTTTTCATTGAGCACATCTAAGTTTTGAAAATGCATTCTAGATTATTACACTGACAATGTCTTCCACATCATTCAATCAAGAACAAGAAATAGAGGCACGACGTAGTCCTCGTATATTTATTGCAACACTGCCACGTCGAATACTAACACAAACAGACTATGAAACGATTCTCCTCAATGGTGTCCGTCAATTGATACACGACTTCTTCAGTCGACCTGAGCAACAATCACCCTACCGAAGTCTTTTTCGATGGACAATTGATGAAGGCATTCCAACAAAAAAGAAATATAGTGTTCTTTTGCGTGTTAGTGAACCAGCAGATCCTAGTTTCACATGAAAGAAATATTAAAATGTCAATAAAAAGAAAAGAAAAAGAAAACATCTAGAAAGAAACATCCATGTATCTCATTTTAGATTGAAACATACTTATGGATATCGATGCAAAGCTTAATGGAAGACAGAGACAAGAGTTACTCGAACAAGTATAAAATTTTATCCAATTCTCTGTGAAAAAAACTCATCTATCTTCTCCTTATACCATTTCTAGAGAGCCGAAAGATTATTTGGTTATTCGCTTTCGGTTGTTCACAATGATCCATTCTCTGTTTCTACAACATCATCGCAATTGAAAAGATCAATTCCTTATCTTGACATCCATCATAACAAAATTATCGACTTGATTGAACAAAAACAGTATCAATAGATCTATTTGGTTTTCATGTTACTGATCAGAGCGTCCATTATAACTGAATAAATGAACTAGATTGCAGAATTTTAAGATGTCCAAAGGCACAGAGATAGTGAACAAGGTTTTCTTTTGTAGATTTGTCTAATTCGAATGAATTCGATCAAAACACATAAATGTGGCCAGTGCACATTTACTATTCAAGTTTCTATTCATAAACGTAAAACAAATATTAAGATGGTCAATGGATATTTACGAATTTTTCTGTCTTTTAGTGAATGTCATACCAACAGAGAGTCGACCATGTAATAAACCTCCCATTAAGATTACGATCACAAACAACTTTCGTGTTAGTTATCCATTCAAGACGAATAAATGAAGATAGTGATACTTTCTATAGAAGGGAACTGGCACTGTTCAATGTTTGACATGTTTATACATAAAATAAAATAGTACATGTGTGTCTATTTCTTATTCTCCAATTGAAAAATTGATTTCATTCTGAAAAAAAATTGTTTTTCTAGACCATCTTCGAACTTTATTCAAGATGGACAGAAGCGATAAAACAATAGAAGATAGTACTTTTTATCAAAATGCTCAAGGTCATTCCTACAATCAAGTGACATCGCCAACAGCTTCGATTTACACCACCAATATAAACATGACTCTGACGTCAACGCCATCCATAACGACAACGGATGATGCTACTAACCGACATAGTTTACAATCGAAATCAATGTCGTTTCAAGTGCATACATCAAGTCGAGAATGGCTACCAGTCGCTACTTCAACACCATTAGTTGCAGTATCTTCGGCAACAATGCATTCTTTGGAAGATGAAGAAAACGAATTGTTCGACAAGATAAGGCTTTTGGTTCGAGATTTTACTCAGCGACCAAATCGGCAATATCCATTGACTCGAATCATCAAATGGACAGTGGATGAACTACCCAAAGTAGAACATGTAGTCGTCGTTGTCATTAATCGGCCAACCATTGTTCTATGAAAAGTCAATTGTTTTTCTCTTTATGGAGACAACAAGCACAAGAATAAAACTGTTCAGGACATCAAATTTTTCACTGTTTGAACTTTTTTCACGAACACAGCTCAAGGATGTCATAAAACAACAAGTTCTTTTTGATATTTCATCATTTTCTGTTACTAATACTATTGTTATTCTCTTTTCTTTGTAGACATAAGATTTTCTTTTTCAAGATGAGCTTTAGTTCGTGGCTATTTAATCGAAATCCCAGTGGCCATTCTCAAGAACTTTCTCAAACACCAACAGTGAACGAAGTTGCTTCCGCGGATCAGCAACCACCACAGAAATCCAAAAAGAAAAGTCGAGGAAATCGAAAGGAGCAACATCGCCGAAGAAGACAACGTCGCCGTGAAGCAAATGCTGCCATTTATATCCATAGTAGCTTAGATTTATATGTAAACCTGAACTTGTTTTTTTTCTATAAAATAGAGGATGAAAGTCAAGGAAACATTGAAAAACGCAAGCGAACTAGCCCAATGTCTGATGATCTATTAGCCAGTGGATCAATGACTCAATTGCCTGTAACAGAAACATCATCAACAAACAACAACAGCAGCAGCAGCAACGACCCACGGAAAGTAACACTTCAATCGGCAAATGACGCAAGAAAATTTAAACCAAAATTTTTGAATATTTCCAATAAAAAATTGAAAGGAATGTTATCGAACATCAACAAACATGATCATCAAATCGTTTGCAGTTTAGACACAAATGAGAAAATGAAATCTGTGCGACAGATGATACATCTAATTAGCACGTCACATCACATTTTATGGCAAAAAGACCTATGGCAACATTACCATGACTTTGAAGTACAAAATGGGACGTCGGCGATGAAAATATCAAACAAAATGGCTAGAGAACATGCAACGTGTCAAATGATTATCCCATCAAAACGTTTCATTGAACAACGTCTGAAGATGATCCAACGTCAAATGACAGTGTCCGGTACGGAGCTACAGCAGCATTTCCTTGACTTGTTAACATGGACACAGCAATGTCAACCTCCAATCGATATTCATCAATTAACAGTATGGATGGATACATTTGTTGAGAATGGTCTGCGGCGATTGAAAGACAAGTTTAATTTTAAAAAGGACATGTTACAACGTAAATGATGACCTTCGTGTTATAATAAGATTCTATTCGTTACGTCATAGCGAAGAGCAAGTAGGTGTACTACAATAGACAAAAATCAAACACAAAAAAAAACACGATATAATCTCTTGATTTAGATACATCTAGCTAAAAAAAATATGGCAATCGATCGCTGCTGAATTGAAAACGAAAGAGCGACAAGAAGTCTTGCGAAAACGTATTTCATTATGTCGCCTACCATCGTCATTAAACAAGTCAATTGATCCACTTGTAGAAAATATTGAAGGGTCGCTTCAATCTTTAGTACTGGATGATGATGTGCGTACTAGTTTGGTATTGCAAGGTTCCAGAACTATTACGCAATATAAATGTGATGTGATGATGTTAAAATTAGTCGCTATGGAAAATATTATTCGTGGCCATGTGGAGAAGACGATGGATTTGGAAAAAAACGTTTCTATCAGACGATCGTCCTTCATCACAAATGATTCCCAGTGAATTATATAGGGCAGTCGAAGAACGAATAGAAACGATGCGAACACGTTTCGATGCAATGCTTCAAAATAAATTAAAGTCGTTTTATCGACGCAACTCCTCTAACAACATCAAACGAACAAACAAACAGTATGGACTCTGTCGTCGTCCGGACTTAACGCTTGTTGATCAAAAGATCACCGCGTCTTTGTTGAAATAAATGTAACTACTGTTGAAGTTTTTTTCTGTAGAGTGAAAAAGCAAAAACACAAAAGTTATTTCTTTGATGAAATGCTTCCTTTTTTCAGATTCTTGTCTTCAATTGGAAATAGAAAAACAAATCTCGTTGTATCGATGGAAGCTGCAAAACAACAAGCTAGTGATATACAAAGTTTATCACAGAAAATGAGTCAATTATTGACTAATACAAATCGTCAGAAGTCAACTATGCTAGAAAATATCCAAGATGAATTGAATGAAACGACTAGCTATTTAACAAAACAAAATAAATGTTTCAAACAAATGATACATCAAGTTTTGTCAACAATGAAAATCGCAACGACACAGAAGAATATAGAAGAATTACGACAAATTGCCATTTTAATGACTAAAACTAAACTCATTCAAAACTATCACATACTGTGGACAACTTACTTGAAATCAGGAATGGGCAAATTGATCATGCCACCCGACAAGCAATTAAACTATTCAACAGATTTGCCTATATGGCCAAAAGAAGTTATAATGACTCTGCGAAACCCAATAAACCTAAGTGATGAAACAAAGAAAAATGAAAATTATATGAAGTCTGTTAAAAACTTCATAGATGAATTAGATAAACAATTAAAACAATATGCAAATGAATTGAATACGAGAAAGAATAATTTTTATGGTTATACATTTACAATTCAGCAAATGATTGAAAAATATCTTGAAGAAAATCTTCAGAGTTTACGTACGGAAACTGAACATAAAGTAGAACTTGTCGATTATGATTATTATATTCAAGCATTAAAGATAGCTTACGAACAACAAAATCCAAATAAATATCAAGTATGCTTATGCAAACGATTTTTTAAATTGTTGTTACATGACTCATTTTAGAAACAATTAATGAAACAACTTTGTGCAAGTATATATGAACAGGAGATAACAGGACAAGAATTTCATTTACTTCAGCAACAAATTACCTATTGTAAATCATTCAGTGAATCGTTTGAATGTTCACCCCTATTTCAATCGAAATTAATTGATTCTATTCAAAATTTGCATACTCGAGAACAATTATTCAAGCAATATAAAGACATTGCTGAACAATCAAAACATATGATGTTAACTCTGTATGTGAAGACCGCTCAAGAACAACGAGACAATTGTAGAATGAAGCTTGACACTACTATGAATAAATTGTGGTCTGATCGTCAGTCACATTCTGATAAAAACAAGATATCTTTAATCATGGTCAATTTGATCGGCCAGCGTATGAACAAAATAGCTGAACGTATACAATGTGTCTACAAATATCAAGCTTTTCTTCAATCAGATACTCATAAAAATTCTGCATCATCGTGTTTTTTTAAATAAAAAGGACTTGATATTGTTTGTTTGGTTAAGTTGATTTTTCTTTTTCACATAGATTATTATTAATTTTGACAATGAATGTTAATGATATCAAACAACAGTTCAACTATGATGAAGATTCAAATCGAAAACAGAGAAGAAAATGTCATGGTAATCGACGAGATCAACGTTTTCGAAAAAAGTGCCGTGCACAAGGAATGCAAATAGCAACAATAAAAAAGTTACTCGAGGAAAGAGATCGAGTCAGAACTACTAATAATCATACGAAAACGTCCACATATAATACGGGATCAACTCATATGGATGTGGAATCGAAACAGATAAGAACAAACTCTAGTAAACGTAAAAGAGACGTCTTATCACAAGAAGAATCAAAGAAGATGAAAAATAAACCGAACATAATGACTATTTCATCAGTAGTTCGTAACAATAACAAGATCGGCAACACGAATTATCGGTTAGTATCTTTAATATTTATAGAGGATCTCTTCGAAAATATGTAAGACATTTTATTTTTCCTGATTATAGACAGTCTATGTATTTAAAACAATCATCAGCGATACTTTTTCAAGTATTAAGTAAAATATTAAAATATCCATTGAAGAAAAAAGATGAACAACGATTCATTTACGTACGACTCATTTCATTTGACCAGCAGTATTGTACTGAGATTGAATTACAATTGTGGCATTCCTATGTGGATATTGCCTTACAACACCACATATGGCCTGTAAGTCGTCTTTTTTAAATCTTGACTTTTTAAAAATATTATAGTTCGTCTCAACACTCTAAAGGATCAAATCTATGCTTTGACAAAAACAAATAATTTTGAAGCATGTCAACAATTTGTCGTACATTATATACATACTCTTCAACAACGATTGAATCAATGTCAATTAGAATTGTCAAAACATTCTCACTTATGTCCTATTACAATATTATCATTGAATCAAATCGATCATAGTCTTAAAGAAATGGTTGATTATGAACGAAAATATTTATCAACAAGGAATAATCGTCGCTTGTTTCAGTTCAAAGATAAAATTCATGAAAATGATTTATCTGGGCTGATATCTACATATCGTCTGACTATTTATCAAGTAACTATATATCTATAATATGAAATCGTCTAGTTCTTGTCGTGATTTGAAACTCTCGTTTCTTTTAGAATGAATCAATAAACCAACTGATGAAAATACGACGAGAACAAATAGAAACTTGGAAAGAATTTCTCATGTTTGAAACACGAATTCTTTGTAAATGTTTACCACAAAATTTCGATGAACTGGAACGATTTATAGCTCCAAATATTTATTCGCCAGCGATTAACAACTCAACTGCTATTCAGTTCAAGAATCAACGTTATAAGATTATACAAGAAGCAAAGCGCCAATGGTTAAATGCCTTCTTAAATGTCTACGAGCTTAAGATACGAGAATATCAAGAACAATATGAATATCAACTAACAAAATTGCAAACACAATTATTACGTAGTGCAGGTTCATTGATTTACAACCATATTCAAGAATACATAAGTTATCAAACAGAAAAATTAAAAAAAGATGTTTACAAAGGAATGTTCATTTTTCGACGAAAAGTACGTCAACGTCATCTACGTTCATATGCAGCAAAAAACTCAATCGGTGTCTCTCCTGAATCGTATCTTGATTTAATTTCTAATCCATTTAATCCGCGTGAATGGAATCATTTGTCACTTGGTAAGATTGATTGACTCAATACTTATTTCTATATATGTGTTGTTATCCTTATAATTAGGTCCATCTTGTATACGATTTAATCAAAGTGCTATCCGTCCTCGAAAACAACAGGAAATTGAAATTAGAAATGAACATAAAGATATTTCAACCAAAGTACAAGATTATCTTGTAGAACATCATCATATACCAAGAACGATACCAATTTTCAAACAATATGGGAATCATCTCCTTGATTATCTTAATCGTNTTTCTATATATGTGTTGTTATCCTTATAATTAGGTCCATCTTGTATACGATTTAATCAAAGTGCTATCCGTCCTCGAAAACAACAGGAAATTGAAATTAGAAATGAACATAAAGATATTTCAACTAAAGTACAAGATTATCTTGTAGAACATCATCATATACCAAGAACGATACCAATTCTCAAACAATATGGGAATCATCTCCTTGATTATCTTAATCGTTGTTATTTCACTCCATTATTACATAGAGATCGAGTTCAGGCATTGGAACAGGTACGAACTATTACATCAATTCGACAAAAAATCAAGCAGCATAACCTTATTATTCGTCAGACAGATAAGAGTAACATTTTTTATATTGGCTCAACGACTGAATTTCAGAAAAAAGCAAAGAATTTCTTCTCCGATACAAATGCATTTGTCACATTATCTTACAATCCATTCAACGAAATATTTGACAAAGCTATTCAATTGCTCAATAAACTGGCTTCAAAAAAGCTGATCTTACAGTGGCCATATAAAAAAATGATGCCTGACCCAACAAAATGTGAATTAGCTCACTTATATTTTAATCCTAAAACACACAAAGTATCGTATTGAATATAATAATTATCAAACATTTGTTGTAATTGTGTGTTATGCTGAACATATTCTAGGATGGTATACCAGTTCGACCAATTGAAAATACGATTCATGCTTCAACAAGAAACATCTCAAAATTTCTAGATCGTATCATACGGCCTGTATTTGATAACGTCTGTGCGACAACAACCATTATTGATGGCGCTTCTCTGATCAAACAACTTAATACATATGTTAATAAATGTCTTCTGAAACCATCGACTCTATTGTGTACATTTGATATTCATAATTTGTATACAATGTTACCACAAGATGAAGCAGTTGATATTCTTATTGAATTTCTTCAAATACATGGATATACAAAAGTTAAAAGCATTAATCTTGAAACAATCCGAGCATTGGCTTCAGTGGTTCTTAAAGAGAATGTTTTCGTGTACGAGAAAAGGATCTATAAACAGGTTATTGGTGGTGCTATGGGTTCATCATTTACATTAACGTTAGCAAATATTTTCATGTGGAAATGGCAAAAGGAACTCGTCCGTCGACAAGATATGTCAGGCGAATTTTATGGCCGGTAAGTTTCATCGATGGCGTTGAACTAATCTATTTGAGAATATATACTCGTGAATATCCATCTCTGTAGATATATTGATGATGTTTTCATGATATGGAATAGATCGGAAAAGGAACTAATAAAACTATTAGATGAAGCAAATACATGGCATCCAAATATCAAATTAGATTATAAAATCGGTCAATGTCTACCATTTCTCGATGTTCTTCTTGCGAATAACAATGGAATTTTATCAACATCAGTTTATCATAAGCCAGCAACTGAGCCTTACGTTGTACCATATAAATCCGACCATCCTCGACATGTGTTCAGAAATGTGATACAAACTGCTCTTACTCGAGCTATACGATATTCATCTACTTTTGAAGCTTATCAACAAGAGAAATGTCAGATTCGTCTAATGTTACTGTATAATGAGTAAATTTCTTTGATCTAAATTAAAAGAAGGCCATTTATAACTATGAAATATCCTCTAGATATCCACCGTCATACATCGAAAAGCAATTTGAAAAGTTTTATTTTCAATATGTATCATCTCTAGCACTCCTTTCACCGTCTTTCAATAATGAAAAAGAGTTTTTCCTCATGCATAACAAATTGTTAGATCAACCAACAGCTCGACAGTCACAAGTGGCACAGAGTGCTGCAAGAGCCGATCTTCATACCTATCAAATGAATGATACAAATATTCAAACAAAAAAAATATTTCAACCGACCGAATACCAACAAAACAATAAGGCATCAAGATTAATCATTCACTATGTCCATGAAAAAAGATTTCATTCATTTAAACGAGACATGCATCAAGTTTACGACTCCATCTTCCAGAATACTCCCGTGGCCGATACAAAAATGATTGTTGGTAATAGAAACCGTCGTGATGCAAAACATGAACTTATACGCAAACGCCCGAAACGTTCATTACTGAAAAACATTCCGAAAATGAGTAACTATTACACACATATAAACCACTATTAGATTCCAATTTGAATATTGAAATCTTACACTTTTAGAAAGACGACAGGATAAGAAGAAAATCATAAGGAAAGCCACTGCTTTGGCAAAAATACAAAAACAACCATTCCGTCAATAATACAGATACCATTAAATACATCGTCAACGAACCTTCAAGCACGATCAAGTGATGCTAAAACTTTCATTTCCTTGTGTTTCAGTCTCTCCATGCATTATAATAACCCATTTTCTAAAAAAAAGCAATTTTACTATTGCTAATCACATGACCAAAAGAAAATTCCAAACACTTATAGAACGACGATTTATGTTTTCTTTTTGTAGTATCTATTTCAGAAACAGGTTGTATCCATCATTATCCGTTCAAATAGTATTCAGAATACTGATGTTACGATGGTCAGGGCAGGTGTAACGAACATTGAAACTGAAATGCACACAAATGAACCAATATCAAATGAATTGAAGGATGAAAGTTCATTAGCACGACAACTGACAGAACAGCATACCATATCAACAGTGTATCGACCTGTTTCTCGCCGAAAGCGATGTCGCCGACAATCTAAACGGTCAAAAAAATCTAAATTGCGAAAGAAAATGCAACATAAACGAATGATGCCATCAACACCAAAACCAAGTCAAGATCCATCACTTGTACACATCGGTAGCACAACGAACGATTCATTGGATGATATCAGGGGCGAAGAGTACAAGTTTTCATCAAAAGAAATCTACGAGCAGGAAAAAATCGATGTAATGGACCGCGAACACCAATGGACACAACAATCGTTGGATGATTTCGAAAACTTCAATGAATTGGAAGAAATTGTCCGGTTGCATGAGGAAACTGAACGAGTCGACGAAACGGAAGCTGTTCGTGTATTTGCGGCTCTACTCGAACAGGAAGCACGTGACCAACACTTCATGTTGATGGAAAATAAAGAAAATTTTGTCTTTTTATATAATAATCAAGGAACAAAGTAGACTTTTTTCTTTTTCTGCTATCTCATCCATTATCGTTGCCATTATTTCGAAGTACAATCCCTTGGATTTGATTCATCTGAAAGCAAAATACTGCACGTTTTCTATTTTCTAGATTAATTCTTATAAGCATACGTTCAATATAGATAAACTGGCAATCTATCGAATTCCTAAAATCCTACATATGTATGAGTGAATTGTCAACGAAAACAATGAAATTATTCAAAATATTCTTAGAGACCAACAAGAACTTAGGGTAATGTAGAAAACCTTTACTGATACGTTCAATAAGTCCAAAATTAACCATCAAGGAAAGCTTTACAATAGAGAAAAACCTTACCCAGTGTTTCAACGTCCTACAATCGTTGCGTTCGTGGTGTCCTGGTGTCCTTCGCGTCCTGATGTCTTTGGTATTTTGAGACACCCCGGTGTCCTTAGATGTCTCAATGTCTTTGGTGCTTTTATGCATTCCGTCGTTCTCGATGTTTTTAGGTGTCCTCAGTGTCTTGTTGCTTCAGTGTTCTAATGTCTTCGATATTCTCAGTGTCTTCGTGTTTCAGTGTCTCTGGTGTTTTTACTACTAAGTGTCTTCGTTTTTCTCGATTTCTCCACGTTTCAGCGTCTCTGGTGTTTTCAC